AAAGCTGATTTAACAACAAAAAGCCAAGAAGCTAGTCTGATTAATCCTGCCTAAAACATATCTCAAGGCAGTAAGTAAATTCTTATGTTTTGGAACCACAGGGAGGACAAATTCAGGAACAATGCATATACTTATCAATACTTTGTTCTAATTTTAAAGACTGGTGACCCAACCTATGACTTGGGCACTGAGGAGTGACCAAGAGACTGCCCCTGTGGCCCCCCACCCATGCAGGCCCTGAGGTGCCAGGGTCTGGATTGCCCAGGGGATAGCAGAGCCCTACCACCTGCTCTTTTTGCCACATCAATACTTATTAACAGGGTGGCATCTGTGGTTCAGTGGGTAGGGCGGAGCCCCATATACTAAGGGTGGCAGGTTTGAACCCAGTCCCAGCCAAACTGCAACAAAAAATAGCCAGGCATTGTGGTGGGCGCCTATAGTCCCAGCTACTCAGAAGGCTGAGGCAAGAGAATGGCCTAAGCCCAAGAGTTGGAGGTTGCTGTGAGCTGTGTGACACCACGGCACTCTACCGAGGGCAACAAAGTAAGACTCTACCTCTTAAAAAAAAAAAAAAAAAAGTATTTATTAACAGTGAAGAAAATCAAGAAGCTTATTCAAAGATGTAGTCTTTAGTAGCTAATAAAAGGCTGACCTTAAGATAACCTGCACATTTTTTACTGAGCATAGCTACTAGTTGTAAAAACTCACATAAAGTACTTATAAAGCGTGATCCCTGCCCTTAGGGAACATCAAAATGGAAGAGAGGGAAAGTGAACTATCAATCATGATATAATGAATAAAACACCAGAACGGTAAAGGGAGTGTATGACTGTCAAATAACCATCAGAGGAACAGGTTCAGGTTCAAAGCAGCACCAGGGCTGGTGTGTGACTGTTCCTCCATATTTATATGCACATTTCCCCCTTCAGGGGCCCAGATGTCTATAGGTGAAATCCCTCCTGATAGAACTTCAGTTGGGCCAGGGTCAGTCCCACTGCTATACTCACCCATGTCCCTGTGGACTTCAGTCATCATGTTCTCTTTTCTTTTTTTTTTTTTTTTGAG